GGAAAGACAAGCACTCTTGTTGTGGCCTAGCTGCTGAGTGCCCCCAAATTCATAAGGTGGTCCCCAAATCTTCGATGTGAACAGCGGTACACGCAGATGGGACATTTAGATGAGACCACAGGGGAGGGTTCTCTTAGAAGGGATTGCACAGACAGCTTCCTCCTTCCATTATGTGAATGCTCCAGGGCAAGCATCCATCAACAGGCCCAGAAGAGCATCCCACCCAAACCAGGAGCCAGCCTCGCTCCGTTGGTCTTCCTGACCCCCAGGACCAATGGGAAGGAAATGCCTATGGTTTAAACGGCCCCGCCTCTCATACTTTCAATCATTCTTTTAGGTCAGCTGCCCTTTCCCAAGCCTGAGTGGTTTTACATAAAGCGGCTGGAAGATGGAGTACCTACACTGAAGCTGACGTGGGCTGGGAAAGGCAAGCCTGATGCAGGGGCTCCATCCATCTTCAACCTCAGCTTCTCCACCCCTAAAAGTCAGGGAATGAATATTTACCCGAAAGTGCTGTTGGCAATTACACCCGCCTATGAGAGTCTTCCGTAAGTGATGACTGTGATTAACACCAACGGCCCCAGGGGACCAGAAGGTGGCAATTCAAAACAGTAGCTATGGAGAGCCTGCTGTGGCCACTACCACCCACCTCAGCCACACTGGATGGGCTGTCTATGGGTTAGTGCAAGTTAAAGAAAAACAAACATCAAAGGCGACTGTCCCGGCTCTATGCAGGGCCTTGCAGCTGCTGTGGCAAAGCAATCATTTGGATGCAGGCTCTCTGAGTGGTCTGGTTCATCCCAGAGTGTGGTGTGAAGGCCCACTTCCCAGCGCACCTACCGCGAAAGAACTCGAGGTATATGAAGATTATACACCCCTCCTACCTGTGGGCAGGTGGGCAGGGCTTAGGATAGCTGGAGCTTCTGGAGCAGGCATCCTAGCTATCCTCCCCCCCCACACACACACAGGGTACAGTGCACACACACACACACACACACACACACTTGTGTGTCACTGTGGGGATGAAGGCTGGGGACGCTAGTATGAAAAGCAAAGGATCGCCTTTTCTCCCAGTGCCCAGCACTGAGCTTGCACAGATCAGGCACGAGAGCCCCACCACCGATGTCAAGACTGTCTTGTTAAGGTTCTGACAGAATCGTGAGTGTATTGGAGGCAGCTTCATCTGTGGGTGATGTTGTGGGGGAAGCGTGGGGAGGGAAAGTGTGCTGTTCAGGCTCAACTTCACTCTGATGCTAACGCCCAGTCTCTCGGGGGTCTGTGTGCGCTTTGGGGTGCATTATGGGTGTGGAGCCTTGGCCCATGGTTCTACGCTGGCGCGTCTGGACCCAGAGCCATCTTCTCCCTCCGCACCCAAAGAGTGCTTCTGTCTCTGAGCAGGACGTGATCTGCACCTTCTACATTCCAACGTGACAAGGAACTAAATAACCATTCATTGATGATGCCTGGGACAGAAATGACATTGTTTCCCCTTCCCTCTGTCCCTGGCCTCAGCCAGAGATAGACAAAGAGATGCACAGTGGGGTGAGGAGGGCAGAAGTGTGTCTGCTAGTCCGTGGAAGGAGGGAGGGGAGAGGGAGAGGGAGAGACAAGAGTGTGTTACGCAATTTATGCATCGGTTGTACATTCTCGCTTCCAAATGCCTTCCTGCCAGCCACCCAGCCTTAGTGCTGGGCTCCACTGAGTAGCCAAATACTTGGTTCTATTTTTAATGGGCAACCCAGAAGCTGCTGGGGAAAGGGCAGGGTAACATGGCGGGAAGGGCTTTGTAGAGATAGAGGCTCAAATCTAGCCTGGCTGCCTCCTGCCTGGGTGCTCCTGGGCAAGTTCCAGAACTGTTCTCTCTTGCCTGCACATGTGGGTGAAGGCAGCGCCTCACAAGGCTGCGGGGGCCTGCTGGGGAGCACTGAGCACCCGAGTCTTCTGACATTTGTCCAGTGGACGGTCGGGTGGGTGGAGGGGATGCTGTTTGGTGGGTGGAGGGAGGCTGGGGCAAGGCCAGGCCTGCTGGAGCTGGACACAGCAGTTGCCCCTCTCAGATGTCTCTGTGGACACCTCAGCACAGAGGGTTGAACTTTCTAGGTCTAACATGCATAGGACACACACAGGAAATGGAGTCTAACGTGCACAGGACACATGCAAGGAGTGGGGCGGGCTGTTGGTTGCCAGCAGACCCACCAGAGTCCTCGAGCTCTTTATTCACTGTCGGCTGTGAAGTCGTGCATTTTAGCCCAAAGGGTTCACTCTTTAATATCTTCCACCTCATAATTCACATGGCGTGTGTGTGTGTGTGTGTGTGTGTGTGTGTGTGTGTGTGTGTGGTGCACATGTCATGCTTGTGTGTGGTGCAGAAGTCATTCTTGTGTGTATGTGTGGTATAAATGTCAGGTGTCTCTGTGTGTGTCTGTATGGTGCAGATATCTTGCTTGTGTGTGTGTGTGTGTGTGTGTGTGTGTGTCTGTTGCAGATGTCAAGCTTGTGTGCATGTGGAGGGTGTGGTGTATGATGCAGATGTCATGCCTGTGTGTGTGGAGGGGGGGCTGCTGCTAGAAACAGGAAAAAATAGTGCATTTTACCCACCAAAACTAACACAGAAGTAGCAACCTCTGAAACACCTCTTGGTATCCTTAGGGAGTGGCCTGAGGTTAACTGCACTGCCTTGGTCTCGGCCCCTGGCCACCACATGCGGGCTGGCATCACAGGAGGCATCCGTGGCTCTGGGAGCTGTCAGCTTCCATGCTGTGTTCTTATGAGATAAGTGGCAGCTCCCGCCCAGTTATGGATTTAAGCATTGGAATCCTGAACTAACTCTCAGGCGATTGGTCTCAGGAGGCTGTTCTGGCCGTGGGAGGCAGATACAGCCCCTCCCTGTCCCTCAGCACCCCCTGAGCTTTGGGGAATAACAGAGGCAGCCCAGTTCTTCCCATGAAGTCCCCCAGATGGCTCTCTCTGCCAGGCAAGCCAGCTGCCCTGATCAGCTCCGGGCTCTCTTGATGAACAGTGAGTTCAAACGGCTCCAGGCAGCTGGCAAGATGCTAAGTGCAGCATCAATCCTAATTAGGATGAGGAATTAATACAGAAGGCATTGGAGTCACCATGCAGGCCAGGCTTGACGGCGGCATTCAAGTTTCCCCTGGGAAACAGGAAGGTCCCAGCTCCGTGGGGTTCTTGGGGGTGGGGGGGGTGATGGTGGCATGATTCCCTATGCCACACATGGCATCCAGTGGAGCCTGTGAGGTAGAACATAGCCCCGCAGCCCTTGTTCCCTGTCTGTCTAACTCCGGTGCTGTGGCAGGTAGTGACGTGAGTACATTCTCCAGATGAGGAGTAGGTGTTCACGATCTGAGCAACTGCATACCCAAAATGATGTTTTTCAGAAGAAACGAGGGGGTGTCATCGCGGGCCCACTGGCTCCTTTGTGAGGCGTGCTTCCCCCTTAACTATTAATCTCACACTTCTGTCATCCACGGACTGCTCAGAGCCCTGGCATGGAGCTCCAGAGTGCAAAAGCAGCCCTGATTTGGAGTCGGTGTTGGGGACAAAGGTGGATGGGAGTCCGGGGTCTAGCGGGGACAGCGGGGGGGGGGGGAGCATCGCGGAGCAGACAACCTCACAAAGCCTCCTTTCAGATGGCTCCAAACGTGGCCAGGAAGGGCCCTCTTTCTAACAGCCGGTCCCCAACCTCCTGTCACTTGCTACCACACTTAGCGGAAGGGGCTGTAGCGGAAGGGGTTGTAGCTGCAGTAAAAGGATAGAAGAATTTCCTCAACCACCCAGGGGCGGAGTGAACACAAGACAAAAGGTGATGGGAAAGAAAGAGGAAACACTATCTAGGGATTTTTGGAAAATTAAAGCTATGATCGCCAACTCCCGTTCTGTCCCTAATCTCGGAGCCAAGACCAAGCAGTGGATCAGACAACAACCTGGCAGACAGAACCAGACCGCCCCTCTGTAGACACCTGTTAGTTCGAGTTTCACAGTTGGGCATGAGGGCGCCGGGAGGGCTAAGAAGCCGAAAGCATTTCAGACGTCAGAGGCATCTGGTGTGCGCTCCTGGAAGCTGTCCCCACAGTTCATGGAACCGGATCGCGACCTCTAGATTCATTTCCATCTCAGCACACCTCTCCAGCCTCGTTCTCTCCTACGCTAGGGGGTCTCAGAGCCCCGCCCTGCCCTGACAGGCCGACCACGCCCCTCCTAGCCCACTATGGGTCCGCGGACAGCCCTCCCCTCCCCTGTGTGGTTCCTGTAGCGGTCTCTTGCAGCCTTCGTACTGAGGGGCTGTGACCCCGGGCTCGCTGCTTCAGTTACGGGAGTCGCGGTGTGGCTCCCTTCTGGTCCACATCGCGCAAGGAGGTGTGAGTCTGTGGCCTCGTGGAATATGAGAAGGGTGTCCGGCATAAGGTACCCCGGACCCACTTGGGACCCAACCTGTACCCCGCCTTCACTCCCTCAGTAAGGGGCTTGGAGAGAGCACCTAGATGCCACGGGGCTCCCCGCCCCCGGCCGGCCCCGCCCCAGGATGGCCAGTTCCCATAGCAATCGCACAGACACCGGTTGCCAAGCAACCCCTCCCCCTCCTCCCGCGTCCGCTCCCCCACAACCCTAGACTCCTCCCGCCCCCACGCCAGCCTCCACCTCCCCCAGGGGCGCCGGCGAGGCCCCTGGGGATCGCTCCGCTCTCGGGCTGCGCGCGTGTGCGTGAGTTTCCGTGTGTTTCATTGTGTCTGTGCGCGAGGGGGTGTGCGCGTGCGACCCGAGAGTTTGTGGGATCAGTGTGTTGGGGAGGTCCCCAGCCTGGAGGGACCGGAGGCTCTGGCACCCATGTCCACTCGGGGACCCACCCTCCCGGCTTTAGGTTCTTTGTGTCTCTCGTGGAGCCAGCGCCGCGCCCACCCCTCCCCCGGCCCGCTGCCCGGGGCAGTGTGTGCGTGTGCATATGTGCGTGTATGTGCGTGCGCTGGGGGGCAGGGGGGTCATACCTTCGATGCAACACACCCTCCACAGTCCCGAGTGGGTGAGGTCGCCGCGGGCGCGGCGGGGCGGGGGCCCGTCGTCCATGGTCAGGTTGGTGCCGTTGCAGATGTGCGCGCTGGAGTACAGCCAGTAGTCGGTGCCGATGGCGATGGCCATGAGCGAGAAGGCAGCGAAGGCTCCGGCCGTGGTCAGCAGCATCTGCAGCCCGCGGTCGCATCGCACCATGGTGGGCGCCTCATAGTCCGCCGCCCGCCGGCCCGGCCCGCCGCGCCCGCCCGCCCTCCTCCCTCGGCGCGCAGCTCCGGGGGCGCCAGGGGCTGGGGGGCCGAGGGCCGGGGGGCGGCGCCGCGCTGCGCGCTCCGACCCCGCGCCCCGGGCGTGCCTGCGCTCGGGCTGCGCCGGGCTCAAACTCCGAGGCGCGGCAGCGAGTGAGGGCTGCGCGGGCTACGCGGGCCGCCGGGCGGGCTGGCGGCGGCGGCGGCGGCAGCGGCGGCGGCCGGGGGCTCCTCCCTCTCGGCCCGCCTTCCCCTCCGCGCTCGGCCCGCGCCCTCCGCGCCTCCACCCACCGCCCGCCCGCCGCGCTCTCTCGGCGCCGCCCCTCCGCCTCGGGCCCCGCGCTCGCACTCCCCCGGCCGGGGTTTCCCCTCCCCCCCACTCCCCTCCCCGCGCTCACGCGCGCTCTCTTTCTCTCCCAGGCTTCATTCACATTATTAGAGCGAAGGAAGCCGAGGGAAAGGTTGGTTCCCTGGAAGGACCCCGGGGAAGCCGCGTCTCTAGTTGCCCCTCTTCCCAACCCCCGGGATTCTGCAATCTGTGGAATGGGGAGTGTGTTCCTTTTCCTCCTTCCCCACAGCCAAGTGCCTGGTCCTGGCTGTGAAGGTCTAGGCACGGCTTTAGAGTGAGACACCAGGATTCTAAAAGCCCCAGATGTGGGTCACAGACCGGAGGCATTCTTTACCGGCCAAGCCGGACGGACGCATAACACCACCACCCCAACCCAGGCAGCCAAGGGGCTCAGAGGGGCGCTGGGAAACTCTGGACTTCCGAGGGGGACTGAGGACGTGACTCACACTGTCACCCTTCCATTGCTGGTAGAGGCAGGGACACCGCAACCGTATCAGAGTGGAGCAGCCTAATATTGCAGCCTCCAGCAGTTTCTTTCTCCTCTTAGCTCCTTCTCCGAACCTTTACTTTTTTCTGTGGTTGGCTCTGCTTCAGCTTAAAGGGCATTTCCTCAGCTCCCCTTAACAATGCCAGACTCTGCCTCAGGCCCGGTCCTGGAAGGGTCACAAGCTGAACACACTCCTTTTTCCTAGGAGCCACTCCAGGCTCCTTGTCAACACCCAGCCTCCCTCTCCCCCACAGGAGACCTGAAACCCACCCTGGAAGGCCAGGTGTTTCCTTGCTTCACACCCATATCCCTGTTGCATCCTTGGGGAGGTGGTATCCTGTGGACTGGTCTCCTGAACCCCTGGAAATTGAAACCCCTTGCAATTTTACTTCCCATGGTATCTTCCCAGCACTCCTCAGAGGATATTAATGACCCCAGGCTGGAATTGGTATGAGCGGCCCTGCTTGTCTAACATGTATGGTAAATAGTAGCAATGTGCAAATGTTTTCCCCTGGAAAGTCATCTTTTCCTGGGGGATGGGAATACAAATATAAAAAAAAAAAAAAAAAGAAAAAGAAAAAATTATGTAATAAGAAAGCGAGAGGACCAGGCTGGCTACCCTCATCAGCATTGCTGGCCCTTTTTTCTGCCCTTGAGAGTGTCTGTTCTGCCTCCCAAAGTTTCAAAGGACAAGGGCCACTGCTTTTTCTTCCCTTTAAAAATTTTACCATCACTTAGTCTGGCATTCCATACACAGCAGGTACCTGATATATGGCTGAATGGACCAGAAGGTACGTGATAGCATCTCCTGGCTCAGAACAAGGATGTCTCCAGTAGCCTCCACGATGAACTCGAGGTTCTGTGCTCTGAGAGAGGCGATTTTCAATCTCCTATTTGAAAGCAAATCTTTGTTTCAGAGCAAATCCTCAACAGAAGCCCAACACAAATGAACCTGTGGCGGGAGCCCTGTGACTTCTTTGCTCCTTGCAAACCTAAAGAACTACCTGCTCTCTGAGCAGATGATGTACTGAGTGTCTCCATACCTCCACACCATACCCTGCAGCTCCGAGAACCTCTGCCCTGCTAGAGTTCCATGAGACAAGGAGCTAGCTAGCTGCAGGGTTACACCGGGAGGCATACTGTAGCCTGCTCTGCTCAGAGCCTTCCTCTGGAACCTTGGAAGAAACCAATGCAGTGGCCTAATTGATGCTGGTGGGGTCAGGTGGGGAGAAGTAGACTTTCCCATATCTCTTCTTAGGTAGCTATGAGATGATGACCCATCCTCCAGGCAAGCAACCCTGAAGTCCCACAGGAGATGGGACAACAGTCTTTGGTCCCAGGATGCAAGTGGGACCATCTTTTGCACTACACCCACAGAGGAACATGGGGAGTGGGGAAGAGATTTGAGAAGGGACCTGGGCCTCAGATCAGTACCATCTTGAGTACTGAGCAGACTGATCTGGTTAAGCCACGCCCACCCGGGAGAAAGCTGCTTTTCCAGTCTGCCTTTCATAGTTGATTTGAGGGTCTCAGAAATATATATAGCCTTTATTGTGTGGGAAATAAGATTCCGGGACACGATATAGGCTGATTGATGTTTATTCAGGGAGAAATCACTTACATTAGAAACAGATGACTGCTACAGGTTCCTACTCCAAGGATGTTCCAGATGTTCTCTGCAATCTGACCAGGAAGTGAGAGAACAAGCTGGGGTCCGGGACCCCAGACCTAGACCCCACAGGTCACATCTACACCTGTCCCCACGCCCCAATGGGCCTGGTCAGTGCAACAGGTGTGGGGGGGGTGGACATCTCACTACAGCCTTGGACACCCATGCACTGGGCAGTCATTTGTGGGATGAGTGGCAAATGCCACTTCTACCTTTCTTGGAGGCAGGGATTAGAACATGCTATGGAAACATACAGGACACTGTGAATTCTCACTATCACCCCCCCCACACACACACACACCTCCTAGAACACCTGGACAGTTAAGACAAAGAGAAATGGAGGAGCTTGCTTAAGCTCTCACCCTAGATAAGGCCTAGAAGGTCAGAGCCTTGCTCAGGTCCTGGGTCTTCAAGGCCAGAATTCTTGAGGGTCATCTCCTAGCTTGATGGCCATTGTCAAGTACTACTTGGCTGTGTTGTTATTTCTTGTTATGTTGGGAGGCCCCTGATGGGAGTTTGATGGTTAGCCTGTCTGTCGAGGGACACCCAACCTGCATCCACACTTGGACTTGAGCTTTATGTGGGTGTAGACCGTGGAGTCAGATAAGGACTTGACCGCCGGCAAAGAAGCTGGAGCAAACTCAAGGCTGTCTGAGGCCATTCATCATGCCTGGGTGAACACAATTGAAATCTGGAAATTTCTGCGCAGCTAGATTGGCGAGTTCTAAATGGCAGAGTTTTGTTGCCTGGGGACCCTAGAGTTTTCAGTGTCTCCTTGGTTGATTCCAGTCCCGAGAGAAGGATGCATCCACTGCTTGCTTGGGAGAAGATTCTGGACCAGTCTTATTCCAAAGAGATATGACACTTCTTCCAGGGAACTGCCCCAGACAAATTGTACAACTAACTACATATTTTATTGCTTCCCTGTGTGGTCAAAAAGGCGAGGCAGGAGACCATCAGCGAAAGGGCGTTTCTGGAACAGTTTTCCCCTCAGTTCCCAGTGGCTCCTTCCTCATTGGCTCTTTCCTGACGATTGCCTTTACACAAACTGGGAAGGTGAAGCCACCGTGAGTGAAATTTTCTGTCTCAGATCCAGGGTTGGGCAGCCACACCAGGCAGTTACTGGGGAGGGAAAGGAACACAGTTCTAGGCTGCTCCTACTGCATAATAGGCATGTCAAAGTGGCTGGCCTGGCAGAGCAGGCTACCTCTGCAGCTGGAGGAGGGGATGCCCCCTCCCACCAGGGATGCAGCCACTGTGGAGGGTGGATCAGAAGGCCTTTATTAAGGGCTCTATTCCTCTTTGTCCTCTCAAAAGAACGACCTCTATGTGGCAACATTTTGTGGCATATCATTTCTATGCTCAAGCAGATGGCTGTAGTGATTTGAGGAGGCTTTAGCTGAGGGGATTTGAGGGAGCCTGGGCAGCATCTCAGGCACCTAGGCAAAAAGAATGATCTTGAATTTTCATAGGCAAAGGTTGGGGGTTAGTCTCAGAATGTTCCGGGGCTTGACTGGGGTTGGAGGAGGCTTATCTGCTCGAAGGCTGCTTAGAATCCAGAAGAATGCCCTCCCCATCAGATTATGCAAAGTCGCAAAAATGACTTTTCTTTTCTTCCTTATTTCAGAAGGTTCCTCCTCGGAGGGGAGAGCAGAGATCAGAAAATGCCGCTTGGCTTTGTGGATTCACGTTCATTCCATTTCATTTGCTTATCTCTGAGATCCCATTTGAGCTGGATACACAGCTTTCTCTGTCAGCTCCACCGCAATAAGCTAGAAGCCCCAGAGGCAACCTGCCTGCGGTATAGCAGGAAGGGAAGCAGCATCCAGTGGGTACCTTTTGGGTGGGCCAGGGTCACTGTATGACCTCATGTAAGTTCATCACGATGTCTGCCCTAGGAGGTGGATGTCTTTACCTGCACTTTGTAAACAACCCACATTTGGATAAACAGTAAACCTGGAGGTAGGATTTGAACACAGCTCTCTCTGAAGCACAGCCAAGTTCTAATAATTACGATGTTGCACCCCACTTCTCAGAGGGTGCTGAGGCCACTCTGCCTACCCTGATCCCTCCTCCACTTCTCACCTACCTATTCATTTAGGTGGAATCAGGTTTAAAGCACTATCAAAGTCACGTGGGGGCAGAGTGTAGGACTTCTATTCATTTCTTCCCCTTGCTTTAGAGAGGGTAGGGGTGGGTTGGGGCTGAGCAGGTGCTAGAAGTCACTGGTCTTAGGGCTCACCTTTCCCTCCTTCCTAGGCAGAGGCTGAGCTCTGTAATATAAGAGCCCTGTGGCTCCCCCACCAGACGATGCCGGCCTCTGGCTGCAGCTGTCTCCTGGGCATTGCCCGTGGGAGGAAAACCCAGCACATTGCTGTTAAAAAGTGAACCAACGAACTGTGGGTGAAGTCCCCTTGGGCTTATTCTGGACCAGTGTGCTTTCAAAGGGAATCACATTAGGGGCTGTGCTGGGTGAGCTCTCTAGCAAGAAGCAGTTCTGGTTCCAACCCCGCTGACGAGCATATTGATATGAAGAACCAGCTTGGGCAAAGCTTCCAGCCCAGCACGCTGGAGAATGAAATGGTTATTCTGAGAACATTCTTTTGAAAACACTCGACAGGACAAACAGGCCAGAGGCTCCTTTGTCCTCAGCTAGCCTCTGAAACTGAGCTGACTCTTAAAGGTG